TCATAGCTCAAAAATCAGCATAATAAACCACCTTTTGTGCTCTAACAAAAAGTTTTCGTTGAACAATTTTACAATATGAAATATTCCTTCCTAGATCCCAACTTTGACCCTAACCTTAACGAATTTTAAGAATTTAGTCTTCGTCACCAACCTTGTACACATTTACGATATGCGATCTACGTAGCCTGTCGTATTATAATTGCACTTTTAATTTTGGGTCGTTATAAATTAAGTAATTCTTAATATTAATGCAAAAAAAATAATAAATCATGTACTTGGCTTTTTATAACTTGAACAGTATCTGAATATTTGTGCATTTGTTAAATATTGGTCTGTGCATTATATGAATATTTGTGCATTTGTTAAATATCGATTCGTGTTTAATGTGAATATTTGTGCATATCGGTTCGTGTAACATTACGTGCATAAAAATATCAAGGACATAATCATACGAAAGAGTTTGACAACCGTATATAGTAAGTTATCACTACATCAGAAGAATAATAATCCAGAGTATAAATATAAACTTTAAATATCGACGTACGTACGTACTTATATGTATAAAAAACGGTTAAATTCTAAAGATAACATGTTTAAGTTTGCATGGCATCAGATTATTGTTATTCATCTATAAAGAAATTACAAGATGGATCCAAGATATTCCACTTCAAACATCCATATCTCTATAGCAATTAATATTTTAGGGATTTTAAAATTTTAAGTTAAACCTGGTCTATGTATTAGTAGTTCTAGTGATATGCATCTTAAATCATCTTATTTAAACACGGCTACCGAAATCAATTCAATATCCGCAGAAAAGCTCCTCACGAAACTTGTAACCTTTTTATCTGAACATGATCAATATGATCAATGTGATCAATGTGGGGGTTTTATGTTCATACGTATGCGGGTTCTTTATCTTTTATCTAATCACACGTACTACTACATCCAAATTCATCTTTATTAGGTTCAAGTTTACTGTGGGCGTCATTTTATTAATCAGATAATTGGTCAAGAGATAAATTTGACCGTACAATGGCTATATCGCTGCGAAACAATTTCACATGTTACAAAAGAAATGAAAATCATTTCCTGATTAATACTTGCATAAATTGTAAAACGTTTTCGTTTGAGATTTTCATATGATAAAGTTACGTACTTGTACACCAATTGTTTTTTAATATAAATTACCCAGATCTTCCATCAATTACGCGCGTGCAAAAAAAACAAAAAAAATGGTTTCTATCGCAATTCTAGGATGCGATAATAATGCATTCTATTTAGTTTCTCATCTTTTATATCATAATTATAATCCTCAACAACATCCTGATAATAATAATAAGATCTTGTTAGTTGGTCATCAAGATCCTTTTCATAATCTTGATAGTTCAGAGAAAATTGTATTTAAGACTTTTGATGGATTGGAAATGGTCATTCCTAGAGGTCAAGTAAACTATACAACTGATACGAAGAAAGTTGTTGATTTCAATCCTGATTTTGTGTTAGTAACATTAAAAGGAACTCGCACCATTGAAGTATTGAAAGATATTGTGAATTTGGATGGTAAAACTGTGGTATGAATATAGTATTATGATTAAGAAATTATAATTTCATTTCATTCATTAGAAAAATTCAAATGACCAAGTTTTTTTTTTTAAATATATATATATAGATTGTGTCAATGCAAGAAGGAATTCTCAATTCTGATATTATCAGTGTAATCCTTCCTAACACAAAAATAATTGAAGGCCTTATACTCCAAAAAATCTCATCTTCTCAGAACTGTCATTTTGTCCAAGACTCGTCGGATGGTGTAATAATTCTTCAATCAACTCCTGATTCTTTAAAACTACAACAAATCTTTTATCAAAGTGAATTACTCGTAAGATTATGTTCAAACTTAAAAAATGTAATGTACGGTCAACTCATATTGAAACTTGGTAATGCACTTGTATATTTAAGTGGATTATCGTTTGATGAATATGTTAAGGATAAGACTTGGAGACGTATACATGCGTATTGTCAATGGGAAGCTTTCGAGGTGTTCAAACGTCACGGAATCGATCCTGTTTCTGCTATGAATTCTTCATTACCCTTGCAAATGATTCCATATTTATTAATGACTCCTGATTGGATATTAAGACCTGTGCTTGATAATATATTTAAACAAGAATCTATGAAGTTTGGCATAAATTTAATGTCTCAAGACTTTAATTTTAGAAATAAACTTGAAATTGATGATTTACAAGGTGAAATTGTTAGATTAGGTGGTTCAGGAGGTCTAACAACTGTCTATAACAATGGGATATTAAGGTTGGTAAAATTAGTAAAACCAGATTGGAAAGTTGGGATCGATGCTGTTGATGTTTTGGCTTATATTGAAAATGGAGTTGTACCAAGAGTTTTGCTAAATAACTAGTTCATATGTTAACTTGAGTAATATTTTGTTAATTCATTCACACATATTTTTTCTATATCTTAAATATTAAATAGTGATATAATAAATAACCACCAAACATTAATAATATTATTCTTACGAATAAACAAAAATAACAAAGTGGAAACCAATGTTCAGTAAGCATAGCGGGCTTTAAATCTGATTGGATGATCGACCGAAATGTTACACAATATGTTCTTCATATTAGCGTAAC